GGAAAGAGAGGAGGAAGATAGAGAAGAAAGGGAAACAGACCAAGGGCGCTGTGGGGACCTCAGGCCGTACCCAGCTCTCCCGACCCTTGCCTTAACCATCGGTTTCCCACCCACTGCACCTGCAAACCCACCGTGGGTCTAGGTCCCACCTGGAAGGGGACCCAAAAGTAGGCAGAGGGCAACTCCTCTTTGCTGAGGACCTGCCTTTTCCTCTTCCCCAAACCTTCCATCGCCTGCTGGCTCTCTCCACACAACCCAACCTGCTCCTGGACACCCCCAAGGCCTGCACCACCGGCAGCCTCCTCCAGCCTGAATTCCTCCCCCACTCCTTCCTGCCTGTTTGGCTCCCATCACACTGCTCTGCTTGCTGGTCTGCGAGCCAAGGTCTCGGGTCTTCGTCTGAGTCCCACTTACACTCATGTTGTCCCTTGGGTCAGGCCTTGCTCAGATGTCACCTCCTCAGAGAGCCTTCCCTGACCACTCTGTAAAACAGCACTGCCACTGGCCCCAGGACTCGCCACGCCACGCCCAGCTTCTTCCCTGCACATGTCACCGCCTGATGGCTTATTCTGGATTTGCTTTTTAATCTTTAACACATTTGTTTATTTAGGGGCAGGTTACGGTGAGTTAAGCCACCTGTTTCAGAGTGCTGGTTCAAGTCCCAGCTGTTCCCCCTTCTGATCCAACTCCCTGTTAACACACCCTGGAAGGCATCAGATGATGGCTCAAGTAACTGGGCCCTTGCCACTCACATGGGAGACCCAGATGGAGTTACAGACTCCTGGCTTAGGCCTGGCTCAGTCCAGGCTGTTGCAACCATTTGGGGGAGTGAGCCAGCAGGTGGAAGATCTTTTTCTTTGTACCTCTGTCTCTGTTTCTGTCATTCTGCCTTTTGAGCAGATGAAAATTAACATACGTTTAAATTTTTAGTTATTTAAGAGATAGACAGATCTCCTACCTGCTGCTTCACTCCCCAAATGCCTACAGATGGCCAGAACTGGGCTGGCCAGAGGCTAGGAGCTGGGAACTCAACGCGGGCCTCCCACACGGGTGACAGGAACCCAGTCACTCGGGCCATGCCCTGGGGGCAGCGGCAGGAAGCTGTAGTCAGGAAGGAAACCCAGCGACTCTTATGCGGACTCTGGGCGTCCTAAGCAGTAACCAGCATCGTAATTGCTAAGCCAAAGGCCTATTTGTGTTCAATAGCTCCCTCTACCTCTGACCCCTCCCAACTCCTAGTATCTCCTTCCCAGGGTAACTGGCACCCTGCCGCCCCAGCCCACAAAACACTACTACCTGGGATTCCACGGCAATGACTACAACTCACAGGAGCGTGAATGACCTTCAAGCCTAACCCTTGCAGGGCACCTGTCTTCTCACAAAAAGGGTTTGGCGAGGCATGGTTTATAGCCTGGGAGGAAAGGAGCTCTTTTTGTCTACTTTCGGCTTGGCCAGAACACTCAGGACAGAAGTAGCTCAAGCCTGTTGCTGGAAAGTCAACACGTAGCAAGAATCCAAAGGGCCCCCCGCTGAAATGTCAGGGGGGACCAGCCCCAGGGTCAGGGACGGGAGAAGGCACAATAGCTCACTTCCAGGGCCTATGTAAATGCTACCCGCTGCAGCAGACCCCCGAGGCGGAGCCCGCCTGGTTGCTGAGGGCTCACCAAGTGCCCGTGTTGTGCCTCAGCCTGCAAAGTCCTTCCTTCCCGGAAGGAATGCAGCTCAAACAACGTTCAGCAAAGTAGGGAGGGGACAGGGAGGTGGAGCTGGGTCTGCCTGAGCCTGAGCCTCTCTGCAGACACACGGTGCCCGCCTTCCAGCCTTGTGGGCCCTCGGTGACGCCAGCCAGGGAGTCTGGTCAATTCTGCCCAGGCTTCTGGGAATGCCTTCGGGGCCCTGGACAAAGGTCAGAGAAGGAGGCAAGAAGACAGAAAGCTGTGGTTGACATCCGGTTTTGTTCCTGCAGATGCAAATGCTTTGGAAAGAGGCTGGTGGGCGTGCGAGGTCCACACCGACATTCACAGAGCAGCCGCAGCAGCTGCAGCCGACGTTCAGGCGGAGAATGGAATCCTGGCTTTTTAAGACACGGTTTTCTCTAAATGCCAGGCCTCCTGAAGACACTGCAAGCAGACTGCAGCTTTCCCAACCTTCGGCTGTGCCATCTCTCCTGCCTGATATTCCACGGAAAGCCGGGAGCACCCACATCTCTCTCCTGCCCTGTGCTGCTGTCACTCTACCTCTGTTTCTGATGGCTGGAGCCTGGGGCTGCTGCCCACCGGTCTTCCCAGCAAAGGCGCACCTGAGCCTCTGCTTCCTCCTAGGCGGGGAGGGAGAGCCGCAGAAGGGCCTAGAGCCCACGCGGTACCCCGTCCAGGCAGGAGGCAGGAATGCCCCTGGCCTGGCCTCACTTTTCTGAGTGAGGTCTCAGCATGGCCACTCTCTCTTTTATTCCTCGTCTCCAGGACCATCAGTGTACTGAGTGGCTTTTCATTCCCCTGGAAATCTTCCCAAAGCTCTCCCTCCTGCCCTGTTACAAAACCCAAGAGACTTGAGAGATGGACATAACAACCCAGGGCCACATGTAGACGGTGCGTGGATCCTGATTTGAGCAAACCACTGTCACGGGACCCCCTTGAGAAAGGTGGGGCATGTCTGGAGCTGGTATCCAGATGAGAGGGAGGAGTTATTGCTGGTTTTGTTGAGTGTGATAATAGCACAGTGGATAGATGAAAAAGAAAGCCCCATCAGAGATTTCTGCTGAAATAGTTAAAAATTAAATAATTCAGAAGTTTGCCTTAAAATACTCTAAGTGGGGGTAGGCGTTTGGCTCAGCGGATTAAATTCCTACTTGAGATGGCCACATCCCAAATCAGAGTACTTGGGTCCAGGTCCTGGCTCTGCTTCCAATCCAGCTTCCCGCTAATGCACACCCTGAGAGGCAGCAGGTGATGGCCCAAGTACTTGGGTCCCTGCTACCCGTGTGGGAGACCCAGATGGAGTGCCTAGGCTTCAGCCTGGCTCGTGTGGGGATTTGGGGAATGAGCCAGCAATGAGAACTGTCTGTCTCTCCCTCTCTTTCTAACTGCCTTTCAAATAAATAAAGTAAATCTTAAAAAAAAAGTTTAAAACTCTTCCCCTTTTTAAAGCCCATAAACTCTCTCCATTCCACCTTCAGTTAACAGTTCCAAATTCTTGACCCCAAGCTGGGCTTTTCCTGTTCTTTATAAGAACTGGCACACGGCCGGCGCCGTGGCTCAATAGGCTAATCCTCCGCCTTGCAGCGCCAGCACACCGGGTTCTAGTCCCGGTCGGGGTGCCGGATTCTGTCCTGGTTGCCCCTCTTCCAGGCCAGCTCTCTGCTGTGGCCTGGGAGTGCAGTGGAGGATGGCCCAGGTGCTTGGGCCCTGCACCCCATGGGAGACCAGGAAAAGCACCTGGCTCCTGCCATCGGATCAGCGCGGTGCGCCGGCCGCGGCGGCCATTGGAGGGTGAACCAACGGCAAAGGAAGACCTTTCTCTCTGTCTCTCTCTCTCACTGTCCACTCTGCCTGTCTTAAAAAAAAAAAAATAATAACAAGAACTGGCGCGGGGCCGGGCAGGTGCCAGTGTTGGTGAGACTTCCCTGAGACAGCCCCTGCTCTCTACTGCCCCTCCTGCCCTGTCTCAGTCAGAGCTCATCTTGTTCCTGTTTTCTAGGTTAGGGGACACTATGTTATCGCTCAACCACAGCCTGCCACCCTCCCATCTAGAGGGTCCCCAACTGCCCCAGACGTTGAGTCATAGTCAGTGTCTGTCTTATCCTTATCTGTCACCTCCCCCAGAGCCAGAGCACAATCTACGCTTGTTCAACTGAGCTGGCCCCTTCTATGGCTTGAATATGCCCTCTGCGGGGTCTCCTATCCAGCAGGCAAAGAAATCTTCTCAAGGGACCAAGAGTGCTGCAAAGGAGAAGAGGCACTGAGTTCCCCAGACATTCACAGAAGGGCGGCATGGCGGGGGGAGGGGGAGTGCTGGCTGGGCACACAGCCACCCGCCCTTGGGCAGGGATGGAGAGGGAAGGGACAGAGGGAGGCAGGATCCACCTTTAGTTAGGATCACCTGCAGGGGAGGGGGCTGTGGCTTCTCCTGCCATTATTTTCTGCTCCGTCCCTCCACTGCCAGCCCCCTGCATCTGTAGCAGCATCCTTCCCCAAGCCGTGCCACCACCCTTGCTGACACAGAGGTGGGCAATCTCACACTCTGATGGGCAGAGGCTACCTCCCGCCAAGGGCCACCGACGCTGCAGCCTCCTTGGGGATCCATTCTCATTCAGGGAGGTATCACCTCCCCCTTCTCCTCCCCGCCTCCCAGGAACCCTCTGGGTGTGAATCCGGAAACCGACCTTTAATTCACAGTCTGGCTAATGAAAAATCCCCAGGCTGTCCTCCCTCCGGGCGCCAGCACCTATCCACTCCCCTTGCCCCTAGCAGCCACCGCTGGCCCTGCCCTCGATGCCACTGCTGAGAGCCAGCGGTGGGCAGCAGGAGCGCAAGGCAAGCAGCTCCTCCGGCTGCGTCCCGCCGGCTCCCAGGGCTCCCAGCAGCCTCAGCTTCTAGTGCCAAAGCAAAAAGGCTCTCCGTTTCACCAAGAGACACAGGACGCTCACAGACACTCTGAGTCTTCTGAAAGGCTTGGGGGGTTTCTCAATTCACTTCAGTTTGCCTCTGGAGGCCCTTAGTACAGAAAGAGTCTGCTTGGAAACACCTAGAGGGGAAGGCGTCACCAGGAACACAGGGTGGCATCACCCACAAGAGGACAACCAGGCTTAGCAGAAACGGTTCTAACTCAGCCTAGGGTCTCGCCAGCCGAGCCCACCCCCACCCACCCCCCGAGGCTGTGAAGGGAGGGCGTTGAGGGGCTCTCCAGCACGAGCCCCGGGTGGCTGAGTCCACACTTCTCACCGTACCGCTTCTCCTCCCCTCTTTCCAGTCTCCCTACTTCAAAACATCGCCAACATTGCACCCTTTTATTGCATTTTTATTTTGAGCTGCACAAGAAAGTTGGCCCTGCACTGCTCAGTTGGCGGCTCCCCCTCCTGGTCGGCAGGGGAGGAAGTGTTGACACAGTCAGGGGACCTCTCGTATTTGCAGTGTGTGCGCCAAGCAAGTTGACGACGTCCGTGACAGCACAGGTGAGCCCTGGGAGCGATGGCAGACAGCTCACTGGCACCAGTTCTCTCAGGCAGAGCTTAGGAATGGGGCTGCTTCGCCGTCTTTCACTGGTTCCAAGATCCACATTCCCATTTCTCTGACATCAGGGGGCGCCTCCCAGTCCGTGGCGTTGTATCTTCACTGCCGGCCTCCGGCGGAGGCAGGTGCTCCGGGAAGGGCAGCCATCCGCGGCCACCAGCCTGACTGCTGGACCTCACATTCTCTACATGAGGTTCGCTGGATCACAGATTGAGAAGCCGCACCTGCACAAGCACCCGCGGCCTGGCTTCCTGGGAAGAGCAGAAGACGGCCCACGCGTGGGAGACCCAGATGAAGCTTCTGGCTCCTGGCCCAACCCTGGCCACTGTGGCCATCTAGGGACTGCACCAGCAGGTGGAAGCTTTCTCTCTCTCGCTCTGTTTTTTTTTTTTCTCTCTCTCTCTGTAATTCTGCCTTTCAAACAAATAAATCTTCTTTAAAACATCTTAGAGACGGGCATCCTGGGTTTCTTTTCTTTTTTTTTTTTTTAAGATTTATTTATTTATTGGAAAGGCAGAGTTACAGAGAGACACAGGCAGAGAGAGAGAGAGAATCTTCCATTTGCTGGTTCACTCCTCAAATGGCCACAATGGGTGGAGCTAGGCTGATCTGAAGCCAGAAGCCAGGAGCTTCCTCCGAGTCTCCCACATGGGTGCAGGGGCCCAAGCACTTGGGCCATCTTCTACTGCTTTCCCAGGCCATAGCAGAGAGCTGGATCGGAAGTGGAGCAGCCAGGACCCATATGGGATGCCAGAACTGCAAGCAGTGGCTTTACTCGCTATGCCACAGCGCCGGCACCATCCTTGGTTTCTGTTCATTAGATTCAACTAGCTGTGAAAGGTTCTAAGTTGTTAGAATCTTTCTAAGTTCTTCATCCATTACATAGAAATAATAATAATAATAATAATAACGGCACCACTCATCCCCTCGCCTCAGAGAATTCTTTTAAGGATCAGGCGAGGTCACAGGCCTAAGGGCTTGAGAAGAGAAAAGTCAGTGCACATGAAAGAGAATATTATTTTCTCTGTGCATTTCACACCCCTATTCTGCAGCAGCAAGTCGCCCTGCTGGCTTAGTTCATCAAATGTGGTCCAAGACCTCACTCAGATTCGCGGAGGGAGGCGGGAAGTGAGAAGTGAACAAATCCGTTATCTCACGTTAATTTTCCTCCCTCGGAGAAGGGGAGCATGGGGGGCTTTCCCAGCGTGGCTGCCTCTCCAGCACTCTCCGAGGAAACTGGGTGGGTGGGTGCAGGGTTGTGCGTCGTGAATCAGGAGCCAGCGCCTCAGCAGTCCTGGGGTCCGTGGAGCAGGCGAGAGGCCCTGCAGCAGACACACAGCTCCGCAGGTGGGTGAGCACACACATGTGCAAGCCATCAGGGGGCATTGCCGGCCGGATCCTGGGGCTCAGAGCTGCACGGTGCCCAGGACTTCCTCACTGCAGACTCTGCTGAGCAGCTCCGACAGAGATTCGCTCGCGTCCCCGTGGAACACGGAGCCCAGGCCATCTGTGCGCCCACCCTCCAGCTGGAAGCCGTTCACCACTTCCTGCATCCACTGTAGGTCCGCGGACAGCTCCCGCCTCAGGGCCCCGAACTGCTCCTGCACGCGCTCCAGCTTCCGGGCCACGCCCCCGAGGCTGGCGCTGGTGGCCTGGAGGTCCTCTCGCAGGAGCTTCTTCAAGGACTCCACCTTGCGGAACTCGTACCTGAGCTGGGACAGGTCGTGCCGGGCGCTCTCATTCTCCTCTCGGTACCAAGCCTCCTTCTCGTTGTAGATGGAGATCAGCGTCTCCACGTCGTCCTGGAGTGTGTCGTGGGCCCCTGCCAGGGCGCGGCACCCCTCATCCACCCGTGCCATGTCCTCCACCACACGGGCAAAACGCTCGAAGTTGACATAGGTGTTGTTGGGGGGCATGCTTGAGTGGCATTTGAGGGTGTACTCCCGCAGGCGCTTGGTCTTCAGCTGGGGGGGCTCCGTCTCCCGCTGTTCGGGGGCGCTGGCTTCTCCTCCCGACTGGTGAGTGTTCAGACAGAAGAAGCAGAGCGTTAATCTGGTGCGTGCCCTGAAGGGCTGGCTGGTGGAGGCACGGGCGGAAGGCACACACGCAGCCTCTTTGCCATTCGCTGCATGCGCCAGGCCATGGGGAGAACCAGGGTGCATGGAGCACCCCCATAGACCACGAGGAAGGTTCAAGGAGCATGGGGACACGGCCTGCATGCTCGCTGCCAGGAGGAGGGGCCCGTGGCCATTAGAGAGGGTCTCCACACGCGTAGCATTTAAGGGGTGCTCGCGCAAAAAAGCAGCTACAGCTGGGACTCTGCAGGCATCCGCTCGAGGACCGGAACACACAAGGCCATGGCTGACAGAGGGCACGGGAGGCATCTGGCTCACGTCAGGGCTCCTCAGGCCCTGGCAGCACTCAAAGCACTGAGCAAGGCGCAGTGCGAGCCAAGCTCGCATTCCAAGCCCACCCGCACTGCAGGCCCTTGGTTTTCCCCGTCCTTCAACGAGCACATGAACCTGACCTTCTCCTGGGCCACGGCGGCCTCCCTGTCTCCATCGCCCGCAGGCCTCTCCCCCTCCCCATCCGCAGGCTTGGATCACCCTCCTGGCTTTCTGATCTAACCATCACGATAAGCAGGAAGTCCGGCACGTGCCTGGGTGTGAGTAACTGGGCGGTAGCAGAACCGGGGCCGGGATCCTGGCTGCTGAGTGCCACCCTCCGACGTGCACGACCCCCCGAAGAAACAACAACTGGAAGCTCAATTATAGGGTGAATGGGGCAGGTTCACCTGTCTGCCCCCACCCCCTGATGTGGGACAGAGATGTCTCCATGGCCACAAAGCCTCGTCCGGAGGCCTGCTGGCGCCTTGTGTGTCAGCTCAGATGTCACTCAGAACCCCAGAAGTCAGAAAGAAAGAGTCCTGGCTTCAGAGCTGTCTTTTCCTTAACTGCCACTGACCCCTCTACCACTGGGGAGTCCTGGCTTTGCCTTGAAATGAGCCGGTGACAAGTTCTGCACCACGATGGCCCCAGAGGAAAGGGCTGGGTGTGAGCGCAGTTTCTGAGCATTTCAGTTCCCAAGTTATCCGATCCCGGAAGCGGGCACTGAGAGTTGTGGGAACCCCACTGAATGAGCTCAGGCCCTCTGGGGTCCCAGACGAGCTTTGGTCTGTGCCCGGGGCCCGTGTTCCAAGCAAAGGCCTCTCTGCATGCGGCCGCCCCAGCCAGCCCTGGCGACAGAACAGAGGTCTCTGCTCGCTTGGACTCACTGCTGCGTCCTTACCGTGATCCAGGGGTGAGAGAGCGCCTCTTGGATGGTGAGCCGCTTCCTACAGTGAGGACGAGAAGACAGCGGTGACCCACGAGGGCAGAGCTGCGAGCAACCATCTCCACACTGCTCTCTGTTTGCCCACTGCTGTCAAACCAGGATGGACGGAGGTGGGCTGCCACCCTCAAGAGGGTGACCTTCCCACTTACACCTTCCCTTCAGCCCCAAAGCTGAAAGACCTAAAGCTGGGGCTGGGGCTGTGGCAGAGCCCGTCAAGCCTCCGCCTTTGATGCCGGCACCCCCTATGGGTGCTGGTTGGAGTCCCGGCTGCTCCAGCTCCCTGCTAATGTGCCTGGGAAAGCAGCAGAAAGATGGCCCAAATGCTTGGGCCCCTGCACCCATGTGAGAGACCCGGGAGAAGCTCCTGGACCCTGGATTCAGATTGGCCCAGCTCTGGCCATTGTGGTCATTTGGGGAGTGAACCAGCAGAAGGAATACCTCTCTCTCTCTCTTTCTCTCTCTCTCTCTCTCTCTCTCTCTCTCTCTCCTCTCCCCATCTTTCTCTGTAACTCTGCCTTCAAATAAATAAGGTAAATCTTAAAAGAAAAAAAAAAAAAAAAAAAGAAAGCAAGCCCTAAAGCCACACTATACAAGAGCTATGGATGTTCTACTGTTTCCAGAATGCTCCAAAAGTCAGCTCCCCATTGTTAACCCCTGGTCTCTGTTTTTCTGTTTGCCTTCCAGATCCCTCCCCTGCCCGTGGCTGCTCTGTCACCAGGCAGGATGACCCCTGTCCCCACTCCCAGTGCTGCCTTTGGGAAGTCAGGGACTCTGCTCTGCCAAGGACCTAGGCTGGCTGCCCCTTTGCAGTCTGTGGGACCAGGCAGACACGGCCTTCCGGTGTGTGGCCCTTTTCCCCATCCCATCCGGGCCCTACTCTGCGTGCCCAACCCCCTGTGACTCCGCCCACCTCCTTCTTTGCCTCCAAGGCCATGGGGCGGCCCCACGGGGGGCTGAGGCAAGGGTAGGATTTGCTGGTCTCCTCCACATTCCCTGCACTGATGGCTTGGAGCTGCCTCCCCAGCTGTCAGCATCAAGTGGCTTCGAAACTCTGCCACTTCATCTTTTCCAACCCAGGTGCTTTGGGGCAGGCTGCCCGAGGCCATGAGCCCGAAAGAAACCCAGGCTGACTTACGCATACACACACACACACACACACACACACGGTGATTTGCATCCCAGGAGAACACAGCAGAAAGACTTGAGCACACGGATGAATGTCCAGTCTCAGCTGGTCCACCCGTCTCCGCACCTGCCCCATGTACACCCCAACAGTGCAGATGACAGGTGTGGCAAAGAGAGGCGACAGGAAAAGGGCAGTGCCTGAGACCAGGGCCTTTCTCTGTTCTCTTACCGGGTCTCTTTAACCAGAAGCTTCCGAATGAAGTCCTTGGCCAGCTCGCTGGTCTGGCTGAAGAACTCCTCGTCGAAGTCGTAACTCACTGCTGTGATGTTGGACAGCGTCTCCTGCTTCGTGTCACCCAGGAAAGGGGATGCTCCGCTTAGGCTGCAAACAGAGAGGGAACCCCATGACTGCGGGAACAGGGTGGAACGTGAGGGAGGGGGCCGGGAGTCCTGGCCTGCCCTGCCCTGCCCTGCTGTGTGTTGGGGGGGAGCTGGTAAGCTGGGGAGGCTCCCAGGCAAATAGCCTGCTCGCCCTGGGCGTCCACCCAGCAGCCTTTCCAACCAAGCCCAATTCAGAACATTTTTACGGAGCTCCTCCTAAGAACCTGAAAGAGAAAAACTGTGTCTTCAGGGCCCGTGTAGTGGTGCAGCAGGTTAAACTGCTTGCGACACCAGCTTCTCATATAGGAACATTGCTTTGAGTCCTGGCTGCTCCACTTCTGATCCAGCTCCCCGCTATTGTGCCAGGGAAAGCAGCAGAAGGTGGTGCAAGTGCTTGGGCCCCTGCACTCACATGGGAGACTGGATGGAGCTCCTGGCTCCTGGCTTCCGCCTGACCCACACCTAGCTGTTGCAAGGCATTTGGGGAGCGAACCAGCAGACAGAAGATTGATCTCTCTCCTCTTTCAAATAAAAGAGATTTATTTATTTATTTGAAAGGCAGAGCCACGGAGAAAGAGAGGGAGAGACAAAGAGAGAGGACTTCCATCTGTTGGTTCACTCCCCAGATGGCCACAATGGCCAGGGCTGGGCCAGGCCAAAGCCAGGAGCCAGGAGCTTCATCCAGGTCTCCCACATGGGTGCAGGGACCCAAGCACTCGGGCCATCCTCCGCTGCTTTCCCAGGCACATTTGCAGGGAGCTGGATCAGAAGAGGAGCAGCTGAGACTTGAACTAGTACCCATATGGGATGGCAGTGTGGCAAGTGGTGACTTAACCTTCATATGCCAGCCCTGAATAAGTCTTTAAAAAAGAAAAGCCGTGACGTCAAGGGACACGGAGACACGGCTCTTCACAGTGTCCAGGAGAACACAGCAGGAAGCCAGACAAAGGCCCAGGGCGCACAGTGCAGGGAGCTGGGGCCACTTCCCGGGAGAGCGGGCATTCGCACTGCTGGGGACCTCCGGAAGGGAGAGGTTGCCAGCAGCGAGAGGAGTGGGAACGGCTTCCAGGCTGAGCAGCGACTGAGCCAAGCTGGAGAGGCGTGCAGACGGGCCACAGCACTGCGGGTCTGTCACGCACGTGGCACACAGATAGCGACCCCCGAATCCACTGTCTCCTGCCTGGCACACAGCTGCTCCCGGGCTGCCTCTCCCCGTCGGGCCACTGTCCCAGGACTCACTGTCCCAGGACTCACTGTCCCAGGCATCCTTCTCTGCACTCCCTGACTTCATTTGTGATACCAAAAATGTCCCCAAGCCAGAAGCACACGCATCACCTGGGATTCCTGCTTTTTTCCTGGCCACATCTAACTGCCCAAAAGTCTTGTCAGTTCCATTTAACAAATATCACTTGCAGGTTATCCCCAACCCTGCTGCCATGTTCTGAGCATGGTGGCAGCAAGGTACACCAGCAAAAAAAAAAAAAAAAAAGAAAAAAATTGTTATTTCAATCCTGGGTTTGAATCACAGTTCTACCACTCTCAGCTGTGTGACCCTGGGTAAGTTACTCAGCCTCTCTGAGCTGCAGTTTCTCCATCTATAAAACAGACAAAGAAAGCCCTCACCACACTTAGGAATCATGAAGAACAAACACATATAAAATAATGCTTCATGCAAGGGCTGTGGAATTCAGGGCCATTGTCATTGTCACGGTTATACTAGGAAGGACCTCCTGTGTCCCTGCAGTTTCACAGGATCTCATCTAAACCCCTGAGCCTCGGGCCTCGGGAGTTGGCCCCTACCACACACTCAGGACGTTTCAGCCACGCGGAACGTGCTCTGTGTTGCTTTCCTCAGCCAACACAGCACCTGCCCTCCACCCACCTGCAGGAAAACTCATTTCAGCCCTTGCAGCCCAGTGCCATTCTCCGTCTCCCCCTCCTCTCATGCAACCATCAGCAGCCCCAGCAAACCACTGGCTCCTCATCTGTATCTCGCGGAGGTGGGGACATGGCTTGTGAGGGTTTGATGGCTTAAGTGCTAGACACTGGACCTTCAAATTCATGGTTTGATGGGATCTGGGGGTGGGGCCTCTGGGAGATAAGTAGCATTAGATGAGGCCGTGGAGGCTTTGTAAGGCGAGGGAGACAGACCCGAGCTAGCACGCTTGCTCAGTCTCATCCTATGATGCTGCAGTAGGCGCTGGCTGGAGACCGAGCATCTGCCGGCGCCATGCCCTTGGTTGCCGCGGGGCGTCTCCCCCAGCCAGGGAGCCCCTGGCCGGCAGGGTGCCCACCAGGGAGCAGGCCCTCAGGAAAGCTGTGCTGAGTTCAAAGGAGCCACCAGAAGACCGTGTGCCCCGTGCACACTGGGAGTCCTAGGAAGGTTGACAGGGAGACCAGAGTTCCGAAAACAGCGAGGTTCCAAGAGCCAGCGTCCGAGCACTCAGGCTCTGACCTGGAGTTGCACAGTCATCAGTTCCTGGCCCTCTCTTCGCTTGCAGCCGATTCAGCACGGGTTTTTAAAAGGCACTCAAGCCACTCCCCAGGCCTGGCAATTCTGACTTTAGAGATCCTGGTGAGTAGTGGACGCTCCATGGTGCCGCCAGGGCTGAGCACCTCGGCTGCACCTCCGGGGCGTCCACCACGCCTCACCGGCACCCAGGCCAAGTGCCGCTGCCAGGGGCAGGGCCAGTTTATGGGGATGAGATGCGAACGGTCCCTTAGCTGTCCAGGGCTGCCGCAGCCCGGCTCCCCTGACTGCAAGCAGACTCCTGCCCCAGGGAGCCATGGGAACAAGGCGGGGAGCACAGTGGGGAGGCGGGGCAGGGACTCCCACTAATCCACCAAGCAGGTGCCAGGGCCAGGGCTAGGAAACTCCCCCGCGTGGTCCCTGCAGGGAAGTCCATGATTCCTGTTTTTCTGGTGGCAAAACAAGTCCAGAGGTTAAGAATGCGTCCAAGGCCACAGAGACGGAACGGGACGGCCGGCCTCACTCCAGCCTCGCCGTCACCCAACCCACAGGGGACCGGGGCAGGAAATCTCTGCTTACACGCTGAATACTGCAGGGACAGGAGAGGAGGGGAGAGGGTGTGAGGAAGGACAAAGCGTCTGGGAAAGGAAAGGCGGGATCCAGAGGGCTACCCGAGGCTCCTGCATGAGAACCTGCACCACCTGACAATGGCAGGTGAACCAGCCTGGGGAGGCTGGGCAGGGGCTCCTGGTGTGGACGCCGGGGGCTGCTCTCAGGGCTCCTGCTCCACCTCAACTCCAGGGTCAGGAGTGTGACACACAGCTCAGTGAGCCTGGCCTCCGGCTTGCTGTGTGGACTGGACATATCCAGCTCGGGGCAGGTGTGCAGCACGCACAAGTCTGTCTGTCTATCTCACTCTCACTTCTCCCGCCTCCCACAGAGCTAAGCTGGGGCGTGCTCTTGGTGTCAGGGATACTCACAGGATGTAGGTGATGACGCCAATGCTCCTGCAAAACAGAGAGCAGTCAAGTCAGGGCCATCAGCACCCCCCACCCCCATCCCAGGCCGGCCAGGGACGCCCCACGGGGCCTCAGGGGTAGAGGCCATGGGCCTCCTCTGTGGCAGTCCCGGGATGTCGTTTGGAGCCCCACACCCTTCTCAGTCCCACCCTCCGCAGCAGCCTGGGATGCATTTGGAGTCCAAGGACCCAAGTTCAAAGTCAGACTAAGCCCCTCTCCTCCTCATTTGAGGACAATGACAACCACCTCGCACCTGGTGATGGCGGTGCTCGGCCAGCTATAAGGGGCAGGGACCAACTGCTGCGGCATCCCCAGGCCACACAGTGCCCAGTGAACACAAGGCTGCCAGTGAGCCTTGGCGGGCTGACGGAGCGAGCCATCGTCACTGCTTCCTGAGGCTGTGGCAGGCCCAGGGGTGAGCCTGCGCCCCGGCCCCTCCTCTCGCCTTGCTCCTCACTGCTGCCCGGGCTCCTGCCCAGCCACGGCCTAACCGGCTTCAGCTCCAGGCCTCACTGTCTCCAGCTGCCCGGGCTCCAGGCCCCGCATGCTTGAAGCAGGCAGAGGCTCTGAACGGTGCATGTGGGGAAGGGGTACCCATGGGCAAGGGGCTGTCACGTGGAACAGGGTCCGGGGCCCTGTGCCCACTCCAGGATCCCTAAGCGTGCGGTCAGCTCACCACATGTCGGCTTCCAGGCCCAGGGGCTCATAGTTCACAATCTCTGGAGCTGAAACAAAAGTCACAAGAGAGAGTCCACAAGGGCGCGGAAGGGACAGGAGACGGCTGGGGGAAATGTGAGGGGTTTGGTGGCAAACGTGTCCCGGGCTGAGTCCCCAGCAGCCGGCCGAGACCATGCAGACCTAAGAATTCTGCAGCAAGGGCTTCCCATAGCCTGAACATTTGCCGCCCCGCCCACCAGGTTGAACCCCAGTTCCTGATACGATCGTATCACAGGGTGCAGCCTGGAAAAGGGGATTAGGTCATGAGGGTAGAACCCTAGGAATGGGCTTTTCCTTTTTTTTAAAGATTTATTTATTTATTTGAAAGGCAGAGTTATGGGGCGGGGGGGGGGTGGTAGAGAGATCTTCCATCCACTGGTTCACCCCAAATGTTCACAATGGCTGGGGCTAGGCCAGGCCTAAGCCAGGAGCCAGGAGTTTCACCAGGGTCTCCCAGGTAGGTGGCAGGGGCCCAAGCAATCAGTCCATCCTCCACTGCTTTCCCAGGAGCCTTAGCATGGAGCTGGATCAGAAGTGGAACAGCTGGGACTTGAACCAGCACCCATACGGGATGTCAGCATTGCAGGCTGTGGCTTAACCCATTTTACCACAACTCTGGCTCCCACAGAAGGGAATTTCTTATAAGAGAGGTCCAAGGAAGCTCATTTACCCCATTGCCATGTGAGGACTCAGGAAGAAGTTACCAGCTCTGCATGAAGCAGAGTGTAGGCCCTCACCAGACCCCAGTCATCTGCTGGCACCTTGACCTTGGATGTTCCAGCCTTCAGAACTGTGAACCACAAAGTCCTGTTGTCTAGGATCTTGATAGAGCTGCCTGACAGAGCCAGCACGGGGTTGCCTGTGGTCCTGGTGGAGACTTTTCATGCCAGACCCTGGCAGAGAAGAGGGAGAGGCCCCCTGGCACACCCAAGAGAGGAAGAGGAGGGTACAGGAAGGAGCAATGGGGCCCTTATGAGGAGGGCTGCTTGATGGCCCTGGGGTGGAATCCAGCAGAGAGAGAAGCAAAGCTGGCAGAGAGGGAATCCACAGAGAGGCTGCCTCCCACCGGAGGGGAGGGAGATGGTGCTGGGGCCACTGAGATGATGACAGTGAGGTGTCCAGGGGCAGCAGGGGAAGGTGGCCCCAGGAGCGGGGGCCAGAGCCGTCATCGGCAAACAGGTGGAAAGAGGAGCTGAGCCAAGGGTGTGGTGACCAGGGCGTGAGCTGGGCCAAACCGGGCCAGAGACCAGAGGAGCCCTGCAGAGGGAGTGCTGAAATTTGCATGCACTCCAGTGCCCAGGGTCCAGACACAGAAGGGTGGAGACCCAGGTACGGATGACTCTGGACACACCTGGTGAGCTATCAGAGCTGAGAGAGAGGAGGAGGGATGCAGCCTGTCCACCCACTAGTGGGAAGTGGAGAGTGAGAGAGCCTATGTTTATTTTTCTAGAACAATATTGAAACCATCGCATCTGGGACAGGCGTTTGGCCTGGTGGTTAAGACACCCACATCCCACATTGGAATCCTGGGCTCTGTTTCCAATCCAGTTTCCGGCTAACACAGGGAGGCAGCAGGTGATGGCTTAAGTGCTTGGGTCCTTGCCACCCGTGTTGGAAACCTAAGGTTGGGTTCTTGGCTCCTGGCTTCAGCCTGGCCCAGTCATTGGGGGCATTTGTGGGGGGAACAGTGGAAAGATACTCTCTATCTGTCTCTCAAATAAATTTTAAAAATAGTTCGTAGAAAATGCATTATGAAAAACCTATGCATGCATTTCAAAAATGTTGGCACCAAAATAAAGTTAGCTTTTGATTCCATTTTTCCACAGACTTTTTTCTTTTTTAAGCACATTTAAAAAAATTATTTTGGGGGAAGAGGGAGAGAGAGAGAGCAAGAGCTCGCATCCATTGATTCATTCCCAATTGGTCACAGTAGCCAGGGCTGGGCCAGGCCAAAGCCAGGAGCCAGGAGCTTCATGTGGGTCTCCTGCGTGGGTGACAGGGGCCCAGGACTTGAGCCACCACCAGTTCTGTCTTCCCCTTTGGTCAGACTGTGGTGAGACGTGTCAGCCCCCTGGCTGTGAGGAGACCACCGCTGCGGTCCCCCAGCACAGAGGCAGGTGTGGCTCTGCACAATCAGTCCTCTCCCCTTCGTGGGACTGTTCCCTCCAGGCCACAGCCTCGGGCCCGGGCTTCATGGAGAGGCTTCTGGGGTGCAGGGCAGGTGGGGGCCTGGGCCCAGGGTGAGAGACAGAGAGGGAAGAGACAGCAGCCAGGCCTGCAGGAGCTGCACACCAGGACAATGAATGAGGGCCAGGCGCATGGGAGAGGCTGGTGGGCAGATCTCGCACCTGCCTGATGACTTCCTGTTTCCTTTTCACGAAATTTAAAGGTTGGGTTTATGGGATCGTAAGTGGGCAGGGTGATTTCAAATGTTCACACTAAACTCAGCTAAAAACAGAAGGTAGGGCCAGCTCTGCAAAGGGTTCTAGCTCCACCTGGCCACACCTGCCCCGCTGGGTGCTCACAGCCTGCACCTGGACCCTCACCCAGGGGCTGAGCAAGATATCTCAGGACTTGGGGCTGACGCTGTGGCACAGCAGGTTAAGCTGCTGCCATGCAATGCCGGCATCCCATACAGGAGTGACTGTTTGAGTCCTGGCTGCTGCGCTTTCGATCCAGCTCCCTGCTAATGCACCTGGCAAAGCAGCAGGTGATGGCCCATGTGCTTGGTCCCCTGCCACTCCCATGGGAAACCCGGAAGGAGTTCTAGGCTCCTGGCTGCAGACTTTGCAGCAATCTGGGGGGTGAACCAGAGATTGTTTCTCCCTCTATAACTCTGCCTTTCAAATAAATAAACACCTCTTTTTAAAAAAGAGACATTTCCTTCCCTCCGTGATCGGTTTCTAGGGGGCGTCCTAACGCGTCACCTCCCCATGCAGAGGCCACAGCCCTAACCGCAGGGTTCATGCCTGGGATTTCTCCACCTTTTAATGCCAGATGCTTAACTAGGAGACAAACAAAACTCACCAACAAATTCCGGCGTCCCAAAAATGTTCTTGAATTCAACTCCATCTTCGATTTCGTGAGCCAGGCCAAAGTCAATGAGTTTGATGTGTGGAATGGGAGTATTCTTGTCTAGCAACATAATATTTTCTGGCTGGGGAACAACAACAACAAAAACAACAAAACCCAAAAACAAAAACAAAGGAAGGAAGAAAGACGGTAATTAGAGCCCGGTTCTGTGTTTTTGCTGTGGGGCCTGGGGTGGGGTTGTTCTTTTTTCGGAGCCGAGAACAGCAGAAACCCTTGCTTTCGTGTCCTCGGCCTTCTCCTGCGAGCTCAGAAGCAGGCACCGGGCTGGGCGCAGGGCCCGGATTAGGAGCCAGAGACCTAGGCTTTAGTGTCTGTGCGGGCTCTGAATTGCAGGCCCTGTTTCCCGAACTGTCAGATGGGGTCAGTGGGACACGGGCAGCGTTTCCTGTAAACACAGCCATGGGCGTCTGTGTGAGTGTGCGGGTGGCGGCCTGCCCGCCCGGCCCGGCCTGCTGCACACTCGGCTCACCGACCCTGGCCTCCTCACTGTCCCGGCCAGCCAGCTTCCTGTTGACAACACTCCTGTCCTCCCGGCTCTCCCTTCTCTGTGCGTTTAACTGATTCTGGCCCTCAGCAAGACACGGAAACAAAGGCACCTGCTTTCCGGGGAGAATCACAATGGCCCAGAATCCATAGGCAGCTGCCAGGCATGCCCGGATGGTGAGGGCAGGCAGAGGTAGGGGATGGCCATGCCCTGGCTGGGCCCCCAGAGAGGCTGGACCAGGATCCTGAGCGCCACCTCTCCTGTTTCCACCCTGCCAAGACCAGGACGGGGGCGAGCAGGTCCCTCGGCTCTGCCTGCCTTCCTCCGCTCCCCCACGGCTGCCCCTGAGTCCATTTGAAAGGCAGTGTCCTGCAAACGTGAGACACAGACGTCCAAAGCAGCCCGAGAGTCTCTCCACCCAAGAGTGGAGCCCCAAAACACGACGCACCCATACTGTGTATCGCAGGGTTCACGTGGCATTAGCGCTCGGCCGCAGAAAGGAATGAAGTCCAAGAAAATGACAAAAAGGCGTGAAGTGTTCACACGCTGGCAGCTGGCTGAACATGGTTTGGTCCCTGAATTCGGTCAGGACTTTAACCCCCAGTCGTAAGTCAATGGGCCCAAGAGGGGGGAAATAATAAATTGTGGTGCTTAGACATGAGAGCTCGGTGCTTACGATAGCAGAGCAGGGAGAGAGCTTGCGGCTCGAGTCTAGGAGAAGAGAGTTTAAACGAAGCGGAAAGAGTGCGGTCTCAGGGAAGACTTAGGGAGAAAACAGCAGAGGAGACTCTACATAAACTGGCGAACACAGCGGACCTACGTGGAGGGTGAAGGCGTGCACAATGTAGGATCCCACCAGCCGAGAGCCTCCACACCGGCGTTGGAGAGCAAGCTCAGCTCACAATAGCTAAGATGTGGAATCAGCCTAAATGCCTGTCAACCAAAGTCTGGATAAAGAAATTATGGGATATGTGCTCTATGGAATACTATACAGCGGTAAAAAATGAAATCTAGTCATTTGCAACAAAATGGATGAATCTGGAAAACACCATACTTAGAATATGGTGAAATAAGCCAGTCCCAAAGGGATAAATACCAGATTTCTCTCTGATCTGTGACAACTAATAGAGCACCTAAAAGGAAATCTGTAGAAGTGAAATTGACACCTTGAGAAGCAATGACTTGAACCACCTTTGTCTTGACTGTAAAGGAACAAGGTGGTTTTTTTGGGGGAGGGGGTTCTTAATGGCAAATGGAACTGGGAATGGGAGAGGGAGGAGGAGGAGGGGTGGGAGTAGGGGGTGGGGGCCGGGTATGATGGGAAGAATCACTATATTCCTAAAGTTGTACTTATGAAATTTGTACTCATTAAACAAACGAAGAAGAAGGAGGAGGAGAAGGAGAAGGAGAAGGAGAAGGAGAAGGAGAAGGAGAAGGAGAAGGAGAAGGAGTGAGGGCTTTGGGAAGTGAGCGATCAGCTCGCCGCAGTGCAGTCCCCATGACAGAATCCTGGTGGCTTCAGAAGAGACCTCCGTGCCTTCGACACACACGCTTCCCATCTCTGTGCCACCCTGCAGCTCCACAGCAAAGCATCCTACCCAGAGGCCAGTCCGACAGGCGCCACTGGATCTCGGACTTGAACCTCTGGAACTCGGAGCCAAAATAACTCTCTTCTCTAGGAACTCGGGCTGCCTCGGGTGTCGCGTGACAGTAACAAGAAGTGGACTCACACCATGCGACAGTGCGGATGAACCTTGACAACGTCATGCTGAGACGAAGAAGCAGCCACAAAAGACCCCGTGGTACGTGATCGCACTTCTAATCAGCACCGACAGAAGCCTAATGTGGGTTAGGAGTTGCCCAAGTCTGGGGAAGCAGGGATGCTAATGAGTACACAGCTCCTTCCTGAGCTGGTGGAAATGTTCCACAAGTGATTTGAAAGTTGTTCTACTGGTAACTGTGGTATTGGTTACCTAACTTTGTAACCCATAGACATTAAGCGGGTAAGAACCCCAGAGCAAGGCCACGTTTTCTACCAGAGTTCCCACCCCCAAGAAACTAACACACAGCAAGCAACAGCTCTGTGGCCTGGAGCACACTCTCCTATCACCGCCTCCTCCCCCCGGACTGCCTTCACATTTCAGTCAAGACAGCAGCGCCTCCTCCGGGAAGCCCTCTCTGCCTCTGCATCAGCCCCACAGGCTCCCTGAGCACCCGTGCTTCCTTCCCCCGGTGCTCCCAACACTGGCAAGCTTGTCTGAGGACTGACCCGTGCCCCTCCACTGGGCGGCGACGGTCCCCGAGGCTTTGGGAGAGAGCCTGCCATCCAGCAGGTGCTCAGTAAGTGAAAGAAGACAGGTGCCACCTGCTAAGCCCCTGAATTACACAGAGCCAAGTGCTGCCCACGCATGCGACACTGAACTCTCTCGATGACCTTCGTGTGGCAGTGTTATCCTTCCTCTTGGGCAGAAAAGGGAACTAAGACTCTGCCAGACTCAGGGACACGGGGATCTGTCAGCCCCCAAAGCCGATCCCCGCACTGCACGATCCCCTTCCCCTGTTCTTCTTGGATCTTCTCCGGGGACCCCAGGGGGAAGCGGGAGTGGCACGTAGGTCTGGCCACGCAAGCAACCTCAGGCGCCCGGATGCTCTTTCTTCTGGTGATGCCCTCACACAGGTGAGTGGGCCCCAGGCCCCGCCCCAGCCTGGTCCTCAGAGCCTCAGGTGCTCCTGATTTCAGATGAGAAGACCTGACACAAGGGCGCGGCCTGGGGCTGTCAGGCGGGGTGGGGGTCGTGGAGCAGCAGGAAGGCTCTGCAGGGCTATCAGGACTTGCCTTCTTGTCTTCACTTACCATTCACTCGTTAGGCTGCTTGGGCCAGATGCACCTGCAGACCCAAGACCTGCCCTGCCTGGGAGTAAAGATGCCACGGGTTCCTGGCCAGCTAAGGTGATTCCAGGCTGGCTGGGAGATCAAGACCTCCCTACATCAGCATGTTTCCTGCATTCAAAAAGGCCTCCTTCTTGCTGGCCTGGCCGACACTCACAGCCTGACCATACCCAAGCCCAGCAGCATACTAGTGTCCTACATGGTTCTTGTGGTCACCCTGATGCTGTTATCATCCCCACTTCTCAGATGAGGAAACTGAGCCCAGAGAGCTACATGACTTGCTCTAAGTCCAGCAGCTCATAATGGCAGAGTCTCAGGGGCTCCCCTGGCAGGCTAGCCTGTGCTCTACATTCTGCATCACCCACGCTGGTTAAATATCCTGGGTGGTCCCACTGACCACCAGAGAGAGTCCAACTGCCCTGCCTGATGCCTGAGGCCCTGGCGCCTCTGCACCAGCTGCCCCAGGCTACTGGACGCTATCTTCCAGGCTCATCGCCCACCGCTTGCCTGTGCCTGCCCCACACCTCTCAGGCTGGGCAGTGCCACCCCCCAGGGCACCGTCTCACACCCATCCTTCACTCAGGCTGGTTTGCCAGCCAGGAATACCTTCCCTGCTCCTCTCCATGCCCACACAGCCTGTGCCCGACGGCCACACTCCCTTTGCTCCCTCCTTTCCCAAGGACTCCTGCTCTGACTCTGACCCCCCTCGACACTGACAAGCTTGCTGGCAGTCCTGAGCTGTAGGCTGTCTCTCATCTGTGAGCCACTTTCCTAGGTGGAGGCCTTTCCCCTTGGAAAACTTCTAATCAGTTTGAGGTCCCTCTGTGGTGTCTTGTATGCTGCAGCCCCCACCACCACTAGGGGCGCCAGAGAGCACAGGACTCTGCGGGGCTGGAGCCAGGTTGCTGGGTAGGGAGGTCAGAGAGGCAGCTGGGGGACAGGAAAGAGGCCATCCCCCAAGGTCTAGGCTAAGCACCTCTGTTTCTCCCTCCCCCCAAACCGGGCAGAATGGTGGAAAAGAACCCAGGCCGGGGGCAGGGGGAGACCGCAGTTCCAGCTCCACCCCCAAGGCTGTGTGAACTTCAGCAAGGCCACTTCCTGTCTCCGGGCCTTGGACCCCCTCCCAGTGCTGAGCGAAACACTGGATGCCGCCCAAGGCCCCTTCAAGCTCGAGGCTCAGTAATTCCAAGGTGGCACCACCTGCCAAGCCAGCTGAGCAAACCCGCACTGCCCTGAGCCCCGGGCCAGTGCCAGGGTCAGGAAGGAAGAACAGGCGCTGGGCCCTCGCCAGATGCCCTCAGGGGGAGCGTGATCCTCTCACTCCCCCGCTCCTGTCATTCTCCCCAGCATTACTGACTTCCACCGAATACCTCACCCACACAGCTGACCTCACCGCCAAAGCTCGGCTGGAGGAAGAGATCACCCTGAAGAAGGTGCTGCCCAGCCCAGGCCTGTGGAGCTGCCCCCAGGAGGTGCAACTGCCCCTGCCTGTCCAAACAACCCAGCAGCTCAGCCTGCCCCCAGGCACCCGTGGGAGAGGCCTATGTGCCCCCTCTGAGTCCCGCATCTGACTGTAGTGCCACCCAGAAGCCAGACCTCCAGGAGGGACACGTGTCCCACGTGCCCAGCACAGCACACACCCAGGAGCCCGTGCAGGAGAAAGGCAGTGCCGAGCACAAGGGACGGGAGT